GCATTAAATATAACTCAAAAAGCAATAAATACACACCAAAAACCAACAGAAAGAATACCAATAAAATACGACGCAGAACATAACGGGCCATTCGTAGTATACATCGACAAAATAACGGAACATGAAAGGAAACCAATAAACGCAGTAGCAGTCACAAACACTCTAAAGAAAAATAAATTTGATGAAATTGATGATGTGATTAAGGTGGGATTTGGAAGAGTAAAGGTGATCTGCAAAAAAGCAGAGGTGGCCAACAATATTTGCAATGATATGAGTTTAAGAGACAAAGGATATGAAGCCAAAATACTACAACATTGCATTTCAAAAATAGGCATAATGTTTGATATTCCAACTGAAATTACAATGGAAGAACTGGAAGAGGAAATCAAATCTAGCATCCCGATACTAAAGTTGGTAAGAGTAGAGAGAAGAGATAAAGAGGATAAGGAGATTAGAATCCACACTAGGAGAGTAAAGGTGGTCTTTAAAGGTCAAACCATTCCGGAGCACATAATCTATGCCTATACCAGGATACAGGTCAAACCATTCGTAGTGCTGTCCCAGTGCTACAGATGCTTCAGATATAACCACTTCGCACAACACTGTAAAGAGAAATAAAAAAGATGTAATAAATGTTTTCAGTTGCACGTAGAGAATGAACCATGCAAGCAGATTGTTTGTGTGAACTGCAAACATGCACATCCACTTACAGCAAAGGACTGTCCAGCACGAGTAAAGGCGTACATTATTAAAAGAACAATGACGCTGGAAAACAGTACTTACAAAGAAGCCCACAATAAAGTCGCAAACATTTTAGGTAACAGATTTGAACTTTTGAACGGGGATGATCGTCAATTCCCACAGTTATCCTCACGTGCAGCGAACAACATAATGGATACAGGAAAACAAACTGCAGCATTTATCCATAAATTAGTACCATACTCTAAAGCATTAAAGAACAATAACCTAAATAGACAAAGAGAAGAAGCAAATGCTAGGAATACCATGCAAGAATGGAGAGAAGCTATAAAACCGATTAATTCAAATGATATTACTATAGAGCCTAGAAAAATACAAGAAACTCAGGAAACATTTAACGAATTAAGCTTAGCCATAACCAAGCATCTGACCTCAAACATAAATGACAGACTAAATCATAACACAGTAGAACTACAGAGCAACATTCGGACAGCTTTTAACAAAATTAATAATTTATTTGATAGCGCCTTGATTTTCAGCAATACAAATGTCAGCACCAATAAAAATTCTACAATTGAACATTCAAAGCTTGAAAAAGCAAGGCAATAAGGAATTATTAGAATTATGTCTGCACAATAATGAAATAGATATTGCAATTTTAGCGGAAACATGGTTAACTAATAACACAGACACTAGTATAAACAATTACTACTATGCGTCTTCAAATCGAACAGATGGATTTGGTGGTGTAGGAATATACCTCCGGAAAAATATCAAATTTTCGGTTTTTAAAGTCTCTTGCGGGATAGAAAATATAGGGATCACTACAATAAATTTAAGAAAAAATATCAATATTATAAGTGTATACTGTCCACCTAATAGTCCAACTCAAAACTTCAAAAATGAAATAGATAAGCTTTTTGTATATACAAGACAATTAAGTAATTTAACACTAATAGGAGGAGACTTGAATGCCAAAGCATCAGGATGGAGTGCTCAGGTTTCAGATGCAAGAGGCAAAATACTGGAAAATATAGCCACGGATAACAGTTTCAACTGCCTAAATGATGGAACACCTACTTTTTCTACTAATAATTCAACATCTGCAATAGACGTCACATTCATCAATCAAAACATTTCTACTACATGGAAGATATTAACAAATTAACAAATAGTAATCATAGCCCAATAATTATAACCTTATTTGATAATTTTCAAAAAAAAAATAAAGAAAAATCATGTGCTTATGAATCAAGTGCTTAAAGATATGAGTAGCTTAAAAATTGGAAATAATCTACAGCAGTTTAACAATGCAATTCAAAATAATATTCAGAAGAACACGATCAATACCAACAATACGAATAAGTATGTACCAAAACATTGGTGGACCGATGAATCTCAAAAATTATTTAGATTACGAAATGTGGCACGCAAGAAATACAATCAATATAAGACATTCCAAAATTGTGAATTACTAGCAATGGCGGAAAAAAACCTACTAGATCATATCAAGGAACAGAAAAAGAAAAACTTTTCGGAATTAATAAATGAAATATCTCAACCGAATAACATCAAGGATATATGGGCTAAAATTAAAAATCTCAAGAAGTATCAATGTGAGAAGCAAGTTAATAACTCTTGGAACAATCAGGAAAAATAAAATATCTTCAATACATCTCTAGAAACCAAATAATAAATACCGTAAATAATAACGATAGCTATAATATTCCAGAAACACCACTTGTGGAAATGAATAAAGACAACTTCCTTAACTTCTTACATACTAGAAATTTAAATTCCGCCAAAGGTACTGATCAAATATCATATCGTATGCTTTTACAACTACAGGATGAAGAGAAAGTAAAGTAATATACTAAACGATGTGTGGCAAGATGGTATTATACCGGAAGCATGGCGGGAGATTAAAATTATACCAATTCCGAAAAAGGTGATATTACTAGCATTTACAACTACAGGCCCATATGCTTGCTTTCGGTACTAGCAAAAATTATAGAGGGTATGATCAAAATCCACATTGAAAGGAATATTGAGGAACATAAAATGCTTCCTGACAGGTCATACGGCTTTCGGAAACATCGATCAACAGCGCAATGTATAAATGATCTCATAAATACAGTTGCTTTCCATAAAGGTGAAAAAATGCACGTAATGGCAGCATGTATAGATATAGAGAAAGCCTATGACTCAGTGGACGTGGATACGTTGGAGCATATACTCAGTGGAACTGAAATCGATGAAAGAGCAACGAGGTGGATTGTTTCCTTTCTAAAATGTCGTTACCTTATACTGGAGCAGCAAAAAATTGTAACAGGAAACGGATTAGCACAAGGTAGTGGACTTAGTCCTACCCTCTTTAACATCTACACAGCGAAGATCCATGAGTTAGTTGGCCGAGGGTGCGAACTCTTCCAGTTTGCCGACGATTTTTTTCTGGTATGTTATCATAGTAAAAAGGAACAAGCTCAGCAAATCCTGGAAGAAAAAATAATTCAATTTATTAATAAATGTAACAATCTACATCTAAAAATAAACCTTAATATTAATAAATGTAACAATCTACATCTAAAAATAAACCTTAATAAAAGCAAAATTATATACTTCAACCAAAGGAGCGCCCAGTTAAATATCCAAATAAATAATGTTCGTTTGGAACAAGTGCGGCACATCAAATACCTTGGGAGATATGTAAGTGTCAATAATTCATGTGCACAACATGTACAACAAATAGTAGAAAAAACAAACAAGACGTGTCGCTTCCTCAACATCATCAGTGGTTGTAAGTTCGGGATATCACCAAGCAGAGCCATCCATCTTTATAAAGCCTTTGTTCGTGCCAAAATTGATTATGCCGCTTCCACATTTGCAAATATATCAAATTCAGCTTTACAAAAATTATCGACATGCTGCAATGCCAACATCAGAAGGTGTTTAAGGTATTGGCCCAATGCACGCTTGCTTTGCTTGCTTGGCTTTGAGAACTGTCAAACAATTTTTAAAATCTACTAAAATGTATGAAAGTTGGCCTAGTGGCAGCTTTACTTCACTTCCTTCAAAGTAAAGCAAAGCAAACTAAAGTAAGCAAAGCAAGCGTGCATTGGGCCAATACCTTTAGGGTTGATAAGATCCACACCAATACATGTCATTTACCACATGGCTGCAGAGATGCCACCCAAGTATAGGTTTGAGATGGCAACAGCTAAAGAAATGATTAAGTGTATCGCATACAATCTGCCGGCCAAAAAAATGATTCTAACAGATAAAATCAACAAAAGAACTAGTTACCATACAGTTTATCAAAAATATAAATCTATTTTTTACAATATTGCCCCAATACAAAATAATACAACTTGTTCAAACAAACTATATATGGACGATACTTTTTTCAAAAATATAATCAAAAATAAAAAAGAAGCCAATCAAACAGTTATTAATAATATATATAAAGAAAAAATTAACCGTCTGGAAGCAAATCAGTTTGAAATAATATTCACAGATGGGTCAATAAAAGATAATAAAACGGGAGCTGCATATGTACATGAAAAATCTAATACAATTCAAACCTTCTGCGGTAATAGGAAAGTGGCATCTATGACTGCTGAATTAATAGCAATAGAAAAAGCCATCGAGTTTGCGATAGAGAATCAGTTTCTTAAAATAGCCATCCTTACTGATAGTTTAAGCAGTATTTTGACATTGAAAAACAATGACCCCAATAATTATATAGCGCAAAACATAATAAGAATAATAAACACATCAACAATAGACATTGTAGAAATACATCATATACCAGCCCACAGTAACATTACATCGAATGAAAAAGTAGACAAAGCGGCAAAAGCTGCAATTCATTCAGGTGATCCAATTAGAATTCCGTGGACTATCAAAGATGCTATAAAGGAAATAGAGCACCAAATACGTGAAGAATGGAAACAAGATTACCAAGGAAAAATTATAAACAAGGGACGGGATTATGGGCACATGTATCCGGAATTATTGAAGAAGCCTTGGTTCCACAAAAAAGACACCCGAATGCAACCAGAAGAAATAAAACAATTCAATAGAATTATGTCCAACCATACATTTTGTAAAGAAACTTTAGCCAGAATGAATATTTTCACTGACGACAAATGCGAAACATGTAATACGACGGAAAATTCAAACCACTTAATTTTTCATTGCAACAAATATTCACATTCAAGAAACCAATATCCATTATTAAGAAATAATGCATCATTTATCGATTTTCATCGAAACGCTACTACTAATGAATACATTACCATCACTAAATTTCTGAACGAGATCCAAATGAATTTGTAAAACGCAAGGTGTATAAAACAAGGTGGTGTTGGGGCGACAGCTGAGTTTTTCGCCGTGGAGGCCATTACTTCAAAACGATGTGTTTGTTGTAACTCATACCAATGACAGTATGGACATCAGCGTATAATTTGTAAGTGTAATTTTTTACTTATATACGGCCAACACCACCTTGTTAAATACGCCTTGGTAAAACGGGTAGTAAAAACTTTTAAACCACAACTATAATTGGCGATGGCGTTGTAGCTCTTGAGCTGGCCAAATTAGTCTTCTTTCCTTATATTTGTATATAAGCACGGAAGCAACGTTAAATTATAAAAAAAAAAAAACGGAATAATTAAAGAAAAACGTTGATAAAAATGGGTGATCAAGTATTTATTAAAATGCGAATATATTAAATAGAACAGATATTTTTTATATTATACTTTTTCAGCCTCCAAAAATGCCTATGCCACCTGGCGCGGGGCCCATGCAGGGCAGTCCGCCACCACCATTGCTTGGCATGCGGCCACCACCAGGTTTGTTACCGGGACCACCGGCTCCGCCAATGTTTCCCCCCGGGCTGAGTATGAATCCACACCAACAATTGCAACAAATGCCGCCACCTCCCCAACAAATGCAACCGCC